TAAAGGACTGGCTGGAAGTGGGGAAACAGGATACTTGAGGCAGGAAGACCAATTAGAAGGCTATTGTTATAGACCAGGAGCGAGATGATAAGGGGCTCAATCAGGATGGTTTTCTTACTTTCAATTTTATTAATCACTCCTTTGATTTTCAGGATTTCCAATTTGGTGTTTAATTGAGGATTTTTTGTTTGTTCGTTTTCTAGCTTTTTTAGTTGCCTTCTCAATTCATTGATCTGCTCTTTCTCTGTCTTACTGATGTAAGCATTTAGAGATATAAATTTTCCCAAGTACTCCTTTGGCTGCATCCCATAAGTTTTGTTATGTTATCTCATTATTGTCATTCTCTTTGATGAAATTATTGTTTCTATGATTTGTTCTCTGAACCACTTATTCTTTAGGATTATTTGGTTTCCAATTGATTTTTAATCTATCTTGCCATGGCCCTTTATTTAATGGAATTTTTTTTTGCATCATGATCTGAAAAGGATGCATTTGTAGATAGCTTTCTCTGGGAATTTAGCTTAGAATAAGGAGACATAGGATAGTCACTAGAAATGATAGTCAAATCAAGTGAGGGGTTTTTGAAGATGGGAGAGTCATGGGCATGTTTGGTGGCAGCAGGGAAGGAGCCAGTAGACAGGAAGAAGTAAAAGATCAGAGAGAATGAAGATAAAAGTGGGGATAGTGTGTTGGGGAGGCCAGAAGGGGATGGGCTCAGAGGTGCCTATACAAGAATTGGCCTTAGGAAGGAGAAGGGCTGCCTCCTCATTTGAGATGAGAATAGAGATAATGGAGGGAAGATAGCTGAGTGGCGAGTTGAGGAGGGAGGGCTAATTCTGAATGAATGGCCTCAATTTATTTTATTTTATTTATTTATTTATTTATTTATTTATTTATTTATTTATTTATTTTGGTGAAGCTGAGAGGGTGCAAGGAGGACATTCTATCAAAGGCTTGAGGAGAGAAGAGGTTTGGAAGAGTCACTTAAGAGGGATAGAGAATGATGTAAGGAGTGGGATTGTTCTGCTAAAATGAGGGCTTAGTTGAGATTACATAACATAGACGCGTGATCGAGTCAGTCAGCATGGCTTCGTGTCTTCCTCACACTCCTTGCTCAGTTCAGCAGCACATGAACAGGAGGGAAGGAAGCTGGGAACAATTCAGGGCTGGGGCTTGGGAAGGTGTGATGGGGTCAAGGGATTCAAGAGAAAAACAGGGTGGAGCTGACTGGTTTATCGAGGGATCACAATGAGAACGGGAGGCAGACGATGAGAAGAGACGGTAGAGAACTGAGGTCTAGTGGGATTGGAGATGACCATGTGTACTAGCGCAGGGCTAGGAGTCATAATTCAGAGAGAGGAAGAGATGGGATGATAAAAGATTATGATCACATCAAGGGAGTCACAAGGAGCTAGATCCAACTGAAACCAAAGGGATTTGAGAGTTTTCAAAGGTGGAAGTGGAAGGACATATGAGATTACCGCAAGATCAAGAGAATGGCCATCCCTATACATGCCTAAGGTGACAAGGACAGATGGGCCACGGAAATCCTCATCAATGGCCGAGGAACTGGGTCATAAGAGCATTCAAAGGAATATCACTGTGCATGCTGAAGGCCCCCAAATGTGGGGGCAGGAGTTAGAGAAGACAGAGAAGAGTCTGCGAGCCAGGCACTGAGCTGATGAAGAATGAAGCCCATCCAGGGAATCATAGCTAATGGCCAGGAAGAGAGATCATGGAGTGATGCTGGGAAAGGGGCAGCCTCGAAGCGGCCATGGGGAGCACAGAGTGTTCTGATCCCCCACTCACACACCCTATCACTGGGATCAGTGATAGAGGGTATATGAGGGAAGATGCAACCAGTACTGGAAAAGTGACCTGGGCTGCAGCGCCATTGGAGTGGGGTAGGGCACAAGGTCTCAGTGAGAGCCAGAAAATAAAGAAGCAGGAGAAGAAGAGGTCTGATATAAGAAGTTGGTTCACTATGGAGTGGAGGTTCCAGAGAGCGTGGGGGAAGGGGCAGGAAGATCCGGAGTGGGACTCCGGGGACAAGAGTAGGGTGGAGATGTGAACACCTCAGGGAGGGAGGGAACGGCTGAAGCTGGGGGGGGGGGGGAAAAGGGGGTGGGGGGGGATGCTAACCATTGAGAAGTCAGTCCAGGCAGACCACCAGTGGGTGGGAGAGGCGCTGCTGCTGAAGACAGGCGATCAAACGTTCCACGGCTTTCTGTTCCCCGTAAGACTCATGCTGGCAAGGTGGGCTGCTGCAGATGTCGGCCTCTGGCTGGCCAGCAGATGGTCTGAGACAATCGCCTGAGTCTCTGAGACTCGCTCTGGCTAATGATCTGAGACAAGGGCAAGAGGCTGAGCAAAGGTCACATCCGTGCCCAGACTGAACAGCATTTCCTAACCAGGTAGGGGCTCATTCTGAAACCTAGAATTTGATTCTAGTTAATGTGATAAAGACCTCTAGGACTGAACCCTGAAACAAACCTAAATCAGGAGGGAAGAGCTTGTCATCCATTCAACTCAATGGTTCAGCGCTGACGTCCATGGCACACCACGCACAGATGACACAGCCACGACGAGGAGGGGGGATGGTCGTTGGACCAGACGCACTCATCACCCTCCTGATGGGCCCGAGACGGAATCACAGCAGAAGACACCATGGGACCGGCGAGGCAGTGGACGTCATTCTCCATCGTCCAAGAAGAGAACAAGGCTGCAATCTGCCTCTGCAACCTCCCTCCCCCTCCCCACACCTACTACTGTACTTCTGCTGTCTGGCACAAGGAAGAAAACACTCCATGGGTTCTAGGCCTCTCGCCATCTTGGTCTCTATCCTCTGAAATTTCTGAGCCAAAAAAGCCCTTAGAACAGAGGATTCCAGAGTTGAGAGAGGTCTAGAAAAGAGAATGTCAGGATGGGAAGGGTCTTAGAAGAGGGAACGCAGAGCTGGGCGGGGCCTTAGAGCCATCTAACCCAACTTCATTAATCTAGGAGAAAATGGGTGACTAGGCTAAGGTCACACAGCTGGACAGGTTCAAATGCAGTCCTTGTTCTGCTCCGATGCCCCTCTGCTGCCCATTCTGCCTGAGCTCCTCCCCTGCACTCTGCCACTGAGGCCCTGGAGCTTTCGGTCCCAAGTCCGGTTGGGTCAACTGCCCCGCTCAGCCCTCCTTGCTCTATTCAAATGCTGAGGCCCAGATGACGTCCCTCTGCATTTAAAACTGAATTTCTATCACATATGCTCCTAACCCACTGCATTGAAACATCACAAGGCTCGATAACTTTGGACAGATCTGTCAAACTCATCAGAATAACACTGCCAAGCCCCCCGCCCGTGCCTCCGAAGACAGGCAGCACAGCATGTCAGGAGTCAGAGGCTTGGGTACAAAGCTGCTCTGCCATCAGGGGCTGCCTGTGTGGCCCTGGACGAGTCCTTTCCCTCTTCTGGGCCCCAGTCTCCTCACTGACAAATCAAGGGAGTTGGGCCAGATGCCGTCTCATGACCCTCCCAGCTGAGTCCTGTAACTTGATGGAATCTGCCAGAAGACACCACCTGGCCCATGACCACATTTCCCTTCTCTGATCCTTGGCACCTGAAGACCCCAGGGCCATCCTCCCCTTCAATCCTGGGGGTCTCACTGGAGTAAGGCCCTTTGGCAGCTTCCCTGGCCCCAGGTCATACTCCAGCCCCTTCTGGCAACAGCAGAAGGGCATGCTGGGAGCTCCAGAGGAGGCACTGATAACAAGACTGAGGTCCTGGAGGGTCACAGGAGAGCTGAAAGCCCTCAGAGATCTCTGGGGCCATGCCCCTCGCTTTACAGTTGGGGAAACTGAGGGGCAGGCGTTTGCCCAAACAGTTGCAGGTTCTCTTAATTCATGGTCTGGGTCCTATCCTTTCCATCAAGCTGTCCTTTAAATGTTGCCTGCATATGCTTTTTTTTTTTTATCTTAACAAAACAAGGAATGTTTTTTCAAAAGCTCCCCTGCCCTGCCCTGTGTCCCTGCCCATTTCCTGGAGGGAAGATAGGCAGGGTGCAGAGACATGCAGGGATGCTGGGGCTGGCTCTCTGTTTTGCAGCTTCTGGAGATGACAGACAGACAGACAGAGAGACAGACACAATGGTTAGGCACAATATGATGTTTCGGGTAAACCTGAAGGATGCTTGGATTGGAGCTGAGTGACACCTTTCGAAACAAGAAGGCAAAGGGAGGGTGGAGGCCCCTCCTGAAGAAGCCGCCTCCCAAGGTGTGCTACGTGCTCCGCACCCACAGCGGCTACTGCTGTACCGTCCCACCAGCCAGGATGCCCTCCTCACTCGCCAAGTGTTTGGGGGTGTCACTTTTCTCAGTGAGAGTTCGTTCCTGGGCCAGTGGGGAGGCTTTCATTTCATTCCACATATGGTCCTGGGCAGGGTGAAGGAGTGCAGAGAGGCCCAGCTTCTGAAACTGTCCCTCCCTGCCATGTCTCCCTTCTGAGGGACGCTGGGCTCAGCCATTGGCCCCTCCAGTGACGCAATGGAATAAGTCTTCATAATTTCAGGAAGCTACCAAGATGGGGGTGGGGGGCAGGCAGAGCCCGAGCCTCCCTGGGCTGGGCACTCCGGCACGACCAGAGGTCATGGAGGAGCTGGAGAGGGGCTTTCCCAGGGGGCGGAGTGGGGAGTGGGAGCAGGAAAGGGATCAGGCCTAGATGTGGGGCCTGTCTTCAGGGGTGCCAAGCCCTCCCCCCGGGAGGAGGTCGGCGAGGCGGGCGTCTTCCCAGGCCTACGGCGGTGTCCTGAGCACCTTCTTCATGACCCAAGAAGGGAGAAGCAGGACCCAACCCGGCCCACGGTGGCCTCGCCGGGCTCAGGAGGTCCTCGCCATGAGCCTTCAGGTCTGACTCGGCCCCTCCGGCTGGCTCAGCCGCCGGGCCTTCCCTCCTACGAGAAGGGGAAATGTGACGACGGCCACGCACCTGGAGCCCACGTGGTTCACAACACACTTGATCATTGTTTTTTTAATTTTCATTTACTTTTAGTAGAATAGAACTTTCCAGTTTGAAAATACATCTACTACAGAGCTGACAAAAGCAAGCGCTCCCAAGGGAATCCTAAGCAACACTCTCTCCTGGCTGCCTCAACTTCCCTCAGAATGATGCCCCCCTTGGGTGATCTCTGAGCCCAGGGTGGGGGGAGGGGCGATAGTGGGTTTGGCGATGAGACGTCGGGCTGAAAACAACCCAGGGAGGGGGACGGGGACCTCCCCCCAGGAGAGAAGGAGCCTTGCGGGGGCTGGTCCAGGCCTGCCCTGAGGCTGGCCGTGGACGGGGACTTCCCCGTGCATGGAAGCTCACATGACGGGAGGTGTCCATCTTATCTTCTCTCTTTGGTATCTCGGGATCCCTCTCCATTTCCGTTGCAAGAAGCGAGACTCTCTAAGCTGCGTCTACATGGGCCGAGGTCCTGTGCTTTCTAGTGTGTGTAGGAAGATGGCCGCCCTCGGTGGGTCACTTTTCTCTCGGCCCCAGGCAGCTTTCCGAGTTAGCGACTGTCCTCGGCCAGCGTAGACACGGCCCTAATGCGCACTTTACAAAAATATGCCACAATTAGTAAGTCGGGAAATGTGCAAACCAGAATGAAAAGTATGTTACTCCAGAACAAGCCTGTGGGAGCGCCGCCCCCGGCCCCGGCAGGCTCATTTCTTATAGTGATTTGGAGCATCGGCAAAGGCGAACTTGAGGCGGTAGGCCTCCGCCAGGAGAACGCTGACTTCCTCATTTCCCCAGTGGGCCGTAGGCAAGTTCTGGAGGAAGATGAGCAGCTCCTAACAAAGAGAGAGACAAGGCTATTAACAGAGGGAATCGGGTCACTCTGACTCACCCACCGCCGAGCACCAAGTGCGCAGAGGACCTGCATCGGGGCACCCGCCCTCAGTGGGCTTACCGTACAGTCGGGGCCGAGGCACAAATGCCGCTAGCATGGAAGCCTGGGGATCAGAGAGAGGCCGAGTGCTGCCTCTGCTGCTCATGACAACAACGATGATGATGGTGGTGATGGCTGCCACTCAGAAAGCCCTTTATGGCCTGCAGAGCTTTGCATGGATTATCTGGCTTGTCACCAAACCAGTGGCACTCAGAGCAGATTTCTTCCAGGAAACAACTCTGGACCAAGGTCCAGAAATTTTTTAAGAGGCCTATTTTGCCTGGTTCAGTAGGACCCAGACCTGCCTTGGAGTTCAAGGACCTGGGCCTGCCCACCTTCTGGTCCTGCTCCCAGCTGCCTGGGATAGCTTTGGCCATTCCATTCCATTGCTACAAACCTCATTTATTAAGCACCCACTGTGTGTGAGTAAAGCTCTGAGCCTCTGGGAGACACAGGGACAGAGGTTAGAGAAGGCCACTCACACAGAGATCACGACCACTGGCAACTGACTGACGGACGTTACACGGACAATGTAGCCATCAAAGGCAGACCAAGGGGGCAGCTAGGTGGCGCAGTGGATAGAACACCGGCCCTGGAGTCAGGAGGACCCGCGTTCAAATCCGGCCTCAGACACGTAACACTCACTAGCTGTGTGACCTTGGGCAAGTCACTTAACCCCAACTGCCCTCACAAAAAAAAAAAAAAAAAATGCAGACCAAGGCGGGGTTGGGTGAGGTCAGTGGGTCATCAGTACCAGGAAGGTTTCTGGAAGAGGCATCAGGAATGGAGTGGGAACTAAACAGAGAGAAGCCCCAGACAGGTGGGCTCGTCATTCAAACCCTCCCTCCAGATACGACAAGTTCCATGGTCTCTCTGATAACAACTGCTCTCTTCAGCACAGAACGGTTGCAACGCCCTCCCCTACCTGGCATGAAACAGTAGCTAGCATGTACATAGAGTTTTAAAGTTTGCAAAACTCTTTCCAAATATGTCTCATTTAATCCTCACAATCCTGTGAGGCAAGTGCTATTATTATCCCCATTTTACAGATGTGGAGACTGAGGCTGGTAGAAGTTAAGTGACTTGTCCAGGGTCACACAGCTAGAGGGCTAAATTTGAATTCAGGCCTTCCTGACTCCAGGCTCAGAGCTCTGTCCATTGTTCTAGGTCTGGGCCCAATGAGCTCCTCCTCCTCCTCATTCCTGGCTAGTGATCTCCAATTAAAGCGAACACAAATTCAACATGACGAATCCTCTCTAGCTGTCACTCCAATGAGTTTAAGTCAGCTCCGCCCTGCCCCCCCAACTCGGGCCTTTGACCTGAAATCACAGAACCAATTTCGCCAGCCTCTTGCCTCTGGGGGCATTTTGACGTCCTGCAGCTGTCTTTCCCCATTAGCGCCAATCCTTAGCAGGGCATAAATAAATTCCTTTGGTTTTCTTTTTAATTCACTTGGGTCTGTCCATGTGAGGGGAGCTGCACCAGCTGGTGACTGTCCCTTCACGGGACACCCTGACCACAGCACACCCTCCATTTCAGAATCTCACCAGTTGGACAGGGAGCAGCAGTGTCCAGCCCTGCCTGGTCTGCCAGATGACAGACACGGAAGAGCTTTGGAGCTGATCTTTACAGAGCAGAATAAATGCCTGACACAGATTTCCAACAGAGCCCCCTCCTGTAATCACACGCTAAGCAGAAGATGTCCTCTGATCTCAGACAGAAGATGTCCCCTGATCTCGGACCCAAGGCCAAGAGCAGCTGGAAGACCCCAAGGCAAGTCCTGGATCTCTCCTCACTCCCCGTAAAAGCTCCCAGTCTTCAGGCCTCCAATGGCCCAGGCTTCTTCTGGTTCTAAATCCTTGGCTCTCATGAAATATTTTATTAACTAAGAAATGTTATCAACCCCACTGAGATAGCTTGGGGGTGATAGCTCCATCAATCACTGGGTAGATTAGCATTTTACAGAGAATCTCAGAACTTCCTAAAAATCAGCCATTCAGAGTGGGAGCCCCCCCAGGGAGACTGCCTCATACCGCCTCTCAAGACTGTCTGTGTATGTACGTGCTGCCTCTGCGTCAGATTATATGCTTCGTGATGGCCCGGCCTGGCCCGCTGCTGTCCCGCTTCCTCAGCACTCGGCCTGGTGCCTGGCCCAGAGCAAGCAGAGTCACCAACTCACATTTCCAGGGCTCAGGAAGGTTTGCAGAGACTGATCCTCACAACCCTGTGAGGGAGGGACTGTGACCATCCCTATTTTACACACAAGAGACGTTGAGGGACTTCCCCGGGTCATCCTGATCCCAAGTTCCCTCTAGCCACTGTGGTACCACCTAAAAAGAAGGATCTGAGTCAATCATCTGAGCTCATCGACTCACAGATGGGGAGCAGGGGGCCCTCAGAGGCCAATTTTATCCAGCCCTCCTGGTGTTCAAGATGAGGAACCTTACACAGGTAAGACGCAGCCACCCATTCAAACCCAGCTCCTCCACTAACTAACAGAGCTCCATGTCAGCAGGTGGGACCAAGGAGGTGAAAAACGTCAGAGCTGGTCATGAAGCAGAGCCTGTTGGAGGGTGAAGCATTAGCACTGCCTGCCCTGCCTTGTTTTACAAGGAAGGAAGTATTCATTACATGGGATTTTCAGCTCAGGTCACTCTCAGGCGAAATTCTCTTTCCCATTTCAGCCTAAGGGATGACTCCAGTTTTGAGTGGCGTCAGTCGGCCCCAGACTCTCATCTCCAACCACCTCTCATACATCTCAACCTGGATGTCTAGCAGACATCTGAAACTCAAAACTCATCATCTTTTCCCCAAACCTTGCCCTCCCATGCCCCCAGTCCCTCAGGGTCACAACCTCAGGGTCATCCTGGGCTCTTCGCTATCTCTCCCCCTCCCATATCCAAGCTGTGGCCAATGCCTGTTCATCTCACCTCTGCAGCATCTCTCGAATACGCTCCCTTCTCTCCTTGAAGGCCTCACCATCTCACCCCTGGGCTATGGCCGTAGCTGCTGGAGGGTCTAACTGCCTCAAGTCTCCCCCTTCAGTCCAGCCACCAGAGGGATTTTCCTAAAATGAAGGTCTGGCCATGTCACTCCCCCCAATCAATAAAGTCCTCCAGGATCAAATACAACATCCCTTGCTTGACCTTCAAAGCCCTGTATAACCTCGCCCTCTCCTCTCTCTCCAACCTTCTTATGCCTTCCTCCCCTCCATGAACTCTTGGTCCCGTGACCCCAGGCCCCGGATGCTCCGTGAACAAGCCCCTGCATTTCTTGGCTATGGGCATTTCCTCTGACTGTCCCCCATGCCTGGAAGGCTCTTCCCCTTCTGCTCTGCCCACTGACCTCCCAGGCTTCCTTGAAGTCCCAACTAAAATCCCAGCTTCCACAGGAAGCCTTCCCCAGCCCCCCTTAATTCTAGGGCTTTCTCTTTGCTGATTATCTCCTATTGACCCTGTCTAACTTGTCTGTGCATACTCATTTGCATTGTGCACTACCCCGATTAGATTGTAAGCTTCTTGAGGGCAAGGACTATCTTTTTTTTTTTTTTTAATCCGCAGGGCCTAGCACAGAAGCCACTTGAAATAAATATCGATTTACTTATTGATCACGAGGGGTCCGGGTGAGTGATAAGGAAGAACATAACCTCCCACCGATGAGGACGGTCAGACATGGCCAACCATGCAACTGGACAAGCCACACCAAGAACGAGCTACCACGGCAACGCTGGCCTTCCTGGTTTGCACGGATCCTCATGCACCGCTTCGTTCCCTCTGACTTTCTCTTAAGTGAAGCTAGCCTCTGATCCCCAGGGGATGATGGGAAAGGAAGTCAGCTTCTCATGTCAAACAGCAGAAGCATCGCCTAATCAACACTGAGCAGATAACACATTTTGGCCTGTTTAAAAGGCACTCAAGGCAGAAGTTTACAAATTACCACAGAGCCAAGATGAACAAATTAATACCGGCGGAAACAAAGGACTCATTTGCCTACAATTCTTATTTTCTTCCGTTAATAGGAAAAGATGAAGCCAGAACCCAGGAGTCAGCACACCAATAACGCAGCCAGGTGAATGAGTCTAATTCACTTTTCTGCCCACATTCAGTCTCTAATTTGTACGGCTCTGCTGAAAATGCAACAAGGCACACGGAGGGGAACAAAGCATCTGCCTGACGAAAAGCATCACGGCCCTCAAGCGTGGTCGTAAAGCTCTTTGACAAGCCTTGTCCAAAGCCGGCCAAGTTCTGGACACTGAGGAAGAGCCTGACCAGTGATGACTGGGGGTGATGGGGTGGGGAGAGAGCGGAGGATTTCTCGATTTGCCCTGAGCTGGGCATGAGAGAATAAGAAAAGTTCAGACCACAGCCAGTACCTGACCTCACAGAGCTCCAAAGTGGCCAACTGGAGAAAAGACTGAAAGGGAAACAGACAGTTGGCCCTCTGCCCGCTCCCTCTGCTTGTCCTGGGAGCTCGCGATGCTTGCCCAGAACAATGGGGCAGGACAGCACCCGTCACTGTAATTTTATCAGCAACGTACAATCACAACAGACCAAGAAAGGCTGAGGGTCTCTGTCATCGGCAGTCTCCTCTGACAAGCGGCTCAGGGGACACTCATCAGTATTCCTCCTGGCTCCAAGTGCTGGGCCCCAAGGCCATCTTCCAATAAGAAATGTCTGCACTTGTTAAGTGCCAGTGTAAAGGGAAGTCAGAGCAGTGACTGTGGGGAAAGGCTGACCCGAGGGGAGGGATGCAGGCTGCTGTCACAGCTGCCATGCCCCACCCAAGTCAACTTCCTCAAGCAAGTCAGGAGACTGAGACTGGGAGATGACCAAGAGCACAGAGAGAGGAAAGAGCCCTACGCTCAGGGCGGGGAGTCCTGACCTGGGCTATGGCCCAGCTTTG